AGCAGGGAGCCCGATGCGGGGCTCGATCCCAGGACCCTGGGATCACGACCTGAGCCGAAGGCAGACGCTTAATGACTGAGCCACCCAGGCGCCCCATAAAGTGCATTTCTTGTAGATAATAATATATAGTTGGGTCTGGCTTTTTAAACAATCCAGCCTAACAATCTCTGCCTTTTAACTGGAGTGTGTAATCTATTTGTATGTCTTGTAATTATTGATATGGTTGGGTTTATATTTACTTTTTTGCTATTTGTTTTCTTTTTGCTCCATCTGTTTTTGTTCCTCAGCAACTTTTTCATGGTTGTCTTTTGCGTCAAATGTTTTTTAGTATTCCGTTTTGATTCCTCATCTGGCCTTTTAGTTATGTCTGTCTCCTTTTTTGTTTTCCTATAGGAAGTTGCTCTAAAGATTACAACATGCATTCTTTCCAATTTTAGTATATGTGCTGCCAAAGTGAGCACACAACATGCATTCTTAATCACAGTTACTTAAGTTCATACTGTACCATGTAGCATGTGAACATAATAACTGTGCTATTATATAATTCTATTTCCATCTCTTATTACTGTCATGTATTTTATATCTACATGTTAACTCCATAATTTATTGTTATAATATTTGCCTATTCTAGGTACTTTATATAAATGGAATCATACAATATTTGTCCTTTGGTTACTTCACTAATTATAATGTTTTCAAGGAAAATCCATGTTGTAGCATATATCAAAGTATCATTTTTTATGGCTGAATAATATTGCATTGTATGTGTATGTGACATTTTGTTTATCCATTCATTTATTGATGGACATTTGGGTCCAGTTTCTGGCTATTGTGAATTATACTGCTTATGAACATTGGTGTACAAATAACTGTTCAAGTTTCTGCTTTCATTTCTTTTAGATATATACCTAGGAGTGGAATTGCTGGATCATATAGCAGTTCTATATTTAACCTTTTGAGAAACTGCCAAACTTTTCCATACTGGCAAAACTATTTTACATTCCTACCAGCAATGCATAAAGATTCCAGGTTTTCCACATTCTCTCTAAGACTTGTTATTTTTTGTGTTTTTACTTCAATTTTTTATAGCCAGCCTAGTAGTCATGAAGTGATACTGTTTTTGTTATTGTTGAGTTTTTTAGGTTTTTTTTTTTTAAATCCCTTATCAGATACATGATTTTCAGATATTTTTCCCATTTTGTAGGTTGTCTTTTTGCTTTATTGATATCCT